ATATAAATAAATGCTTCATTGTACAGATGGTCTGAACATGGGAAAGGTGAGGGGTGTGGTACCTCTGCTGTCTAAAAAACTATTGGGGTTGACCCTTAGCCGTCCCAGAAAATGTTTGCTGTGGGGGTGGGGAGGCTCAAGGTGAGCGGGCTCCCAGATTCTGGCGGCAATGTTCTCCCTGCCATCTCCTGTACGTTTGTGCTGGGGTGCCATTGATATTGAGTGTCCGCTGTCGCGCTGGTCGATCCCTGATTCAACTTCCATACTATCTATTGCTGTCGCTTCCAAGCGTATAGATAGAAAGAGAATATATGTGCCGTTTTTACAATGGCTGCAGTGTAGCGCTGTTGTCTTTGGGAGTATGGCGTTGGGAGGCCCCTGTCTTTTCCACGGTGCGATTCTCGTATTATTGTCCGAACACTAGGTAAACAGTTAAAGCTGTCTACGGTGGGGAACGAACCCTAGTCCTCGAGGATCAGGCAGTTGTTAAACGTATTCACTAACCGCTAAGCTGGTAGCCGAATATTGTCATAAATAAACAGAAGAGGAACCCTTGAGGCCGTAGAAATAATGTATATACAAAAAACAAACAAGCAGTACTTTCACTGGCATGCATACAAAAAAAGCAGAAAGGTAGAAGGACACACTAGACAACATACAAATCGAAAGCTGCAGCTAAACTGCCGGGAATCCAACCGGAGACCTCCAAATGACGTGTGCGCGTATGGAAATAAGTGTACTTAGATAATTGACCAACTAGGCAGCCCTATATGGACGAAGTATCTCAACCCCCACCAGCCTTAAAAGACTATGGCTATGCTCCAGCAAAAAATTATGGCCATCGTTTTGTAAGCATGCATCTTCCTTGAAGCAACATAAGATGTAAGTGGTGGACTGTCTCACAGTCATTACCGAAGAAATTAAGCGCTTTTGAGCTGACATGCGAAAGATTTTAAGAATATCCGGACCCGTTAGAAAAGAAATACAGAGATCCTAAAAGACGTGAACATTAAGGGAGACTCGCTAGTAAACACCATCTTATCTTTGAAACTGGCACATTTTGGCCATATCAAGCGCCATTGCAGATTGGAAAGAACAGTGGCAGAAGGAATAATGACACGAAAAGAGGGCAGGAATCAACAAGCACTAAGATGGGCAAAGAATATAAGTGACTTCTTGGTTAGGAAAGTACATGAGGTAGGAGATCTGGCGAGATACCGAGTTAGTTTTAGGTAAGCTAAGATGCGAGAGAGGGTCTGCAAAGGATCTGTTATATTACGAGGACCCCACGATATTCAGAGCGTGAAGAATGTCAGAACTTCTTCTCTTCTTGGTATGTAATACTCTAAACATCTTTATGTATAATTCAAGTTTTTCTTTTTTGCGTTTTTTATGCTCAGGTTATCAGTAATGTTGCCTCCATTAACCGGCAAGTCAGCAGCAAATCTCTAAGAGTTCCTCAAAGTATGTACTGAATGCCTCTTCTATGACTGACTGGTAGTGGCTTATTCCTAGAATGATTTTGCGGAGTACTCATGGGACGGCCGAGAACACAGTGGGGGAAAAAACGGGACTGTCAGAGCGAAAACGGAAAGTATCGTTAGCCCGGTGTGGTGACGTCACGTCAAGCTGACGTCGTCAGCCCCATGGCCTTTACTTAAGACGGTCAAGCCTCTTCCCTCTGGCTACGTGTTTACTCGCAGGTTTTGCTATTGGCTGCAGTTCTGCAGTATTTGCTCAGACGGGGACCCGCCCCAACTCATCCGGGCACTAAGGCTTGCCTTAGATCTCAGTGCAACACCTGCCCATACGTGCTGAATACTTCAGATGTGACTTTCCCTAAAGGCACTTTTAGCATAAAAGATGAATTCTCCTGCACTAGTAGGAACGTCATCTATGCTATCATCTGCAAACGGTGCAACATCAAGTACATCGGGGAAACCGGCCTTCGCTTAGCCGACAGGTTTCGCCAGCACCTTCATGACATCACTAACCAAACAGCCAGGCCAGTTTCCACTCATTTCAACAGCGCTGACCATCGGGGGACCGCTGACATTCAGGTCACGGCTATCAGATCCTGCTCGTCTGACGATCGACATCGGAAAACTTTGGAAACCGACTTATATATTTGATGGGTAACCTCTCACCACTAGGCCTTAACACACCCAACATAGCTTCGTATAAATTACCAGTGTCCCGGTAACGCACCCTTATCCCCCTCCCCCTCCCCACTACACCCACGCCCATCCCACGTTAGTTTCTGACTGTCATGATATTCCAGTTACATAGATTGAGGGTTATCCCCTAGGTCTTCGACAGATTATGTTGCTGGTTGCTTGACACTACATATATATACTTTGGATACTATTCTCTCTCTCTCTCTCTCTCTCTCTCTCTCTCTCTCTCTCACTCTCTCTCTCACTCTCTCTCTCCCCCCCCCTCTCTCTCTCTCTCTCTCTCTCTCTCTCTCTAGGTATATACCAAGTTTTCTCTGGTCTTCCCTCTCCCTACTTTTCTCCCCTTCCTCTCCCCCTTTCTGTTTTGTTTCTCCCCTACCTCCCCCCCTCTCTCTCGTTCTCTATCTTCTTCTCTTTTCTCTCCCCTATTCATACAACCTTTCATTCATCCATTCATTTTTCCTCGTTACATATGGATGCACTGTCCTAATGTGGAACAACTTCGTGATAGTGTTGGAACGCACTCCTCCTATACAGTGTACATATCTCGTTTTGACTACCGAGAGGGTAAGTATGTGTACACATTATGGGTATGCACTTCTGACTCGACAGATATTGGGTATAACAGTCATCCTTACTGTCTCTGTGTGACATCTGACAATCAGATAGAAGCACTGCATCACTAGACCCTGGTTCACGCGATGTCAGATTACCATACATTCAGACCCATCCATCTATATATCCTTCCATCTACCCATCCATCCTCTCGTCCACCCATATATCATATCATTCATTCATCCCATCCACTCAGCCTATTATTCGATGTGTCCATCCATTCATCGCTCCCCACGTTTCTTTGCACACATACCCGATGTACAATCCATCACTAGTCTCGGCTACCTACTCAGCAGGTATCTCAGGCAACACGATGTTGTTGCGCGTGGGCTCGATTGATACTTTAAAAAACAATCACCCTTACTGTCTTTACTTGCTTGATGTACAGTAAGAGAGAAGCATCACAGTATAAGACCCTTGTTTGGACCTGTTTAAATCCCCCGGCTCTCTAGCGTAGTTGGCTAAACCGGATTGCGCGGTGAGCGGGTGACGAACTCCATGTGGTCCGGGAGTAGGCATAAAAGCCACATTTCTCCTAGCTTTACGGTATTTAAAATGGAATCAAGGCCGAAGGGTTGCGATATCCATAAAACCGGCCCTAAGGATTAACAACTCATGGCTTCTGGATACTAAAACAAAGCAACAACCTATTTTAATATATCAGCATACATATAGGCAGATCCATCCATCCATCTACCATTGCATCTATCTACGAACGTAACCATCGTCCCGCCCATTCATCTACCACACCATTTATCTCACCATCCACTCAATGCTATTTTTCACCGCTTCCTTCCATTCTGGCTGTTACCAGCCTTACACTTGGGCTCTACCAATACTTTGTATCAAAAAAGTCACCCTTACTGTCTCTATTTGATAGCGGACAGTAAGAGAGAAGCACTGTGTGTTACTAGACTCATGTTTTTACCTCATCTCATATTTGATCAATCAATCCATCCATCTACGATACTATTCATCCACTAATACAGTCATCCATCATTCCATCCATTCATCTACCCACCCATCCATCCATCTACCATTCATATCATCCACTATCTATCTATCTATCTATCTATCTATCTATCTATCTATCTATCTATCTATCTATCTATCTATCTATCTATCTATCTATCTATCTATCTATCTATCTATCTATCTATCTATCTATCTATCTATCTATCTATCTATCTATCTATCTATCTATCTATCTATCTATCTATCTATCTATCTATCTATCTATCTATCTATCTATCTATCTATCTATCTATCTATCTATCTATCTATCTATCTATCTATCTATCTATCTATCTATCTATCTATCTATCTATCTATCTATCTATCTATCTATCTATCTATCTATCTATCTATCTATCTATCTATCTATCTATCTATCTATCTATCTATCTATCTATCTATCTATCTATCTATCTATCTATCTATCTATCTATCTAGCTGTCTGTCTGTCGATATTTGTTTGCAAGCACAGGCACCACTTTTATTCCACGCGGATGGACTAAGGTCATCCCCACAACCCAACCCCGGTTACGCCCTATAGGCCAACCCTCCCCTCCCTCCTTAGACAATTAGTGTACGCTGTTGGCGTCCAGCCCGTCCCTTTTTTTGCCCTACCTGCGCGTTGGAGGTATATAGGCTGACCGTCGTTTCATTTGAACGAAGTTTTTTCGCCAGGGACACTAGATGAGTATCGTTAATTTTATACATTAGAGTCCTATGTAGTCACCATAGTTAGAGCCTATTTGTGTATGTGTACTGTGTTGTCCTTTATGTGCTGATGAAGGCTAATCGCCGCAACGTCCTTTGTTTGTTTATTGTGATCGATTTTGTAAAGCTAACATAAACTAATTGTTGTTTCATACCAACTTTTTCTCTTCCCTATAATTTTCTACTCCTTATAAAAACTCAGGTATTTCTAGTGCGATCTTGCAGGGATACTGGACAGATTGTGCGGTATTCCTTTTGTGCATGTGTACGTTAAATCAGCAGTGTCCTGTTCTTAGCCGACAAATTGTGCTGTACTGCCTTCTATTTAGTGTTTTGACTGGGTCAGTTTAAGTTGAAAAGCTCTGAAATTCTTCAACATGACCATGTGAAGATCTCGTTACTGTATATGCTCGCCACACAATACAGACAAACAATGGATCGGTCCTTATGAATTTATAACACCCGCACTTTCTCTTTAATACTCAGGGTAACACAGGGTCTGGATGACCAGAAGCAAGCGCTGTTAAACCTGAAGCAACTATTGAAGGAACTGAAACCATATACTGAGAACATACCAACTATGTGAGTTCTGATATCTGATTCGTTCATACGAACTACATGGTACAACTGAAATGTCACTGTAGTAAATGAGATGAGATAGGATGGTTCTGTAAATGATTTCACTGTTAGCGTCACTGTAGTGAATTGAATTAAATAGAATAGAAATAAGTTTTTTTTTTTTTTTTGGGGGTAGCTATCAATCAATCAACTAACTGCTGTCTTCATAATGAAAGTTAGTTGCATTGAATATTTAATATGCTGTGTCGTTTGTCCAGTACGTACACACATTAAGACTGCTTTTCCTCCACCTCTGATTGTTATCATTCCACTCGTATCGCTGTCTTCGTCTTGCTTGTTTCTCTGCCGATTCCTTTCCCCCCAGTATTGTTTTTGTAAACGTGATGTTTTTAATATGACAGAAATACAAGTATTTTCCTCTAATATTATGTTCTCTTCATTCACACTTTCGTAAAACCTAAGTGTTAGATTGTTTTTGTTTAATACAATACAACTTATTCTTCTATATATTTTACCCAGAAAACTTACATATTTTACAACATAAATTCTGATTACCCCCCCTTTAATTATTTCTCGTCTTCACAGTTTCAGACGCTGAAAATCCCCATCACTTTTATCCATGATTACAATGGTGCACTTGATGTCCTTTTCTTCCTATTATCACCTCACTTGTTTGCGCGGAAGGTATCAACCCCATTTGTTTGGATGGACAGTACCTACCCAATTAGTGTGGATAGACAGTACCTACCCAATTAGTGTGGATGGGCAGTACCTACCCCACCTCTCTGGATGGACAGTACCTATCCAATTAGTGTGGATGGACAGTACCTAACCCATCTCTCTAGATGGACAGTACCTACCCCATCTCTCTAGATGGACAGCACCTACCCAATTTGTGTGGATGGACAGTACCTACACCAACTGCCTAGATGGACAGTACCCACCCCATCTCTCTAGATGGACAGTACCTACCCCATCTCTCTAGATAGACAGTACCTACCTGATCTCTCTAGATGGACAGTACCTACCCTATCTCTCTATATCGACAGTACCTACCCCATCTCTCTAGATGGACAGTACCTACCCCATCTCTCTATATCAACAGTACCTACCCCACCTCTCTGGATGGACAGTGCCTATCCAATTTGTGTGGATGGACAGTACCTACCCCACCTCTCTGGATGGACAGTACCTATCCAATTTGTGTGGATGGACAGTACCTACCCTACCTCTCTGGATTGACAGTACCTATCCAATTTGTGTGGATGGACAGTACCTACCCCACCTCTCTGGATGGACAGTACCTATCCAATGTGTGTGGATGGACAGTACCTACGACAGTTGATTTTTTGGACAGGATCTACCTATCACGTTAAGATAGATGGAATCTAACCCACCTCCTTGGGTAGATAGTATACATCCAACTTGTTTGAGTGGACAGTACTTGCCTTGCTTGCTTGGGTGGAGAGTGCCTCCAGGCATTCAGTTGACGACTGCTAGCAAAGCTATGGTTAGAATTATTTAGAAACACAATACCAGCCAAGCTTAGTCTCCATTCTGTCTGTCTGTTCTGTGCGATATCATGTTTTTAAAAGGGTAGGAAATTATGGGGAAGAGAAAAGGGGGGTAAGAAAGAAATAAGAAAGAACATATAGTTTATCTCAGCTTTACAAAATCGATCGCAGTGAACAAACAAAGAACGTTGCGGTGATTAGCCTTTATCAGCACATAAAGAACAACACAGCACACATACACAAATATGCACTAACTATGAAGTGACTGCGTAGGACTCTAATGTACTAAATAAATGATACTCATTTTTGTCCCTGGCGAAAAACTTTGTTTAAGAGGATGAACAGGACAGGTATACATTACGCTTACGCGGACGGGAAGCGAAAACTGGGTCGGTATACGTGGGTAATGAGCGGAGTAGACGCCAACATACACAACAGCGTACACTGAGTGTCTGAAGAGGGAGGGAGGTGTTGGCTAATATAGCGTAACCAGGGTTAGGTCCTGGGGATTACACTAGTACATCCGCATTGAATAAAAGTGGTGCCTGTGCTAGCGTACAAATACCAACAGACAGACAGTTGTGTGAAATCACGTCAGTAGTTATATCTTGTCTGTTTACTGTGGTGATACGATGGTGATACAATAAGAGATCAACTTTTTAGGAATACGTTGCAACAAAACTAAGATGACATTTTCGTGTCTTTGTTACAGAAAGAAGGACTGCAGGTTTCGACTGGGCGGGCACTGCCTCACAGAATCGCTAGACCGAGCAGCCAATCAGTATTACTATCTCAAATCTCCGAACTCTCCCGGAAGACGACGTCGAGATGTTTCATCAACGTCCAGTCAGGAATAAGCTAGGCAATGCAAGTGTAGTACTATCTAATTTCTCATTTATGATGCATTTTATTGTTTTCAAAATTGTACGGAGGTGTGTCCCTGCAACCTGTCACCTGAAAATGCTGAGCATGTACTCCAGCAGTGTCAACTTCATGCTGCTAACAGCGATGCCATCTGGTCTGTTCCAACCTCGTTGAAGACAAAGCTGAATTTTACAAGGGAAGATATAAACTGCTCGATGTCTTTCATTAGGGTTACCTGCCTCCTGGTATGAATTTTCGCAAAGATCGAACAGGAAGAAAAACAAATATGGTAAAGTTTGTAGTTATGAGCATTCAACAATTCAGTCCATTTTACATTTGGTAACATGTACGTTATAAAGTAAAGAATGTTAAACTACATCAAGAGATAACAGATCAGGTGCGTTGGGCATGTGTCAGGACTAATAGCAGACACTGCACTAGAGGAAGCCTGGCTACTCATACGTAATGGAAGCAGAACCGGAGGTCGACCACTCAAGTAATGTATAGATGGAATATCAGAGGCCGTAAATACGAACACCTATGTAGCTCATACCAAGGCTCTTATCCAATGCCTCGACAAAACCTGACGCTGGAAGGCAATACAGGAATAGAGAAGAAGATGATAAGATAAGGAAAATTATGAGACAGGTAAGCTTGAGAGTTTCTTTTATCCGAAGCTGTGATGAGAGCGAAGTTCTGCTAAGGTGTTGCATAATGATGGTGATCTGATCAGATTGGTGTGAAAAATGTGATTCTACAGTTAATTATCTTTTACAACAAATAACCAAACCTACAGAACTGCATTTTTTTTTTCATAATTCTAGAGTTCTCCAACATAACTGTGTCATTTGTTAAATCGACAACACTCAAAAGACTACAAGAACTTCAGGTCAAAAGAGGTGTCGCCAAACATGAACACTATACAGGTGATTAAAGAAGAATAGTAAACTAGCACATAACTGGTGTTATCAGTCGCCACACGCTGAGGGATATGCTGAAGATGGGATCCGAGCACTTATGGACGTGTCCGATGTGCAGTGAGAATAATCTTTCGATTAGCTAACTTACTAACTATATAACTAGCTAACCAACTAACTAACTGTTTCATACGGTTCAACGAGGTTTATGTGTTTTGCTTCTTTTCGATTTTCATTCTTAAAGAGACTACTCCTTGAGTCAATAAGTTTTAGTTTTTCACACTACAATAATGAAGAGGACATATTTAAAAACTCGTTACATTGAAGAGGTCAATAACTAACAAAACAACATCCTCGTGTGGGTTTAGGGGCCTCATTCTGGGGAAATAAAGGAAGAAAGAAAACCACTGCCACCCTAACAAACATGTAGTAAAAGTTTTATTATGTTATTCCTTTTAAAGTCGGGGTAAAGATGCCAGAGAGGAGTTCGACCAACAACCTGCTTTAAAGAATACCCGATCTATAAAATGGATGTGCAGTCAAATCTCAAGTTCTGGAGGGGAAAAAAAAAACCGAAGTCCAGACGTGGACAAAAAACGAGAACTTTCCGGAGTTTAAAGCCGGCGAACGCCAGGAAGAAGAACAATATAACCGCAAGGTGTCGTCTTGACAATAAAAGTTGCCTGCAATTGACCTCCGACAAAAAAGGTACCGAAAAGAGTCGATAATTTTTCCTGAGACTATCTGAGGAGAGAAGACGTCAAAAAAGGGATGTGTACACGAAACTGCTTTTTGCAAGGACGTGGAATGTGTGAAGGCTTAACACTTACAGCTTGATAATAATATTCACCGTGGGACCGTTTAAGGGTTTTACAGTATACTAATAGAATGTTCTTGCACAGCCGAGATTCTTACACTGTGTAATCCTTTTTCTTGGTGAGAAAAACGAGTCACCTGTGGGTTTGACTTGGTATATACAATTTTAAAAAAAATAGACATGTATAGATTGGCAATAAATCGGCCCTCATAGTAGAAAGATAAAATAGAAAGACAGAAGGACACGCCAGGCAACATAAAAATAGGAAGCTTTCGTTACCGTGCAGGGAATCGAACCTACCTCCAAATAACCTCAGCACAGTTTTACATAAACAGCTGTAATAAGACACACACAGAACTAAGCACATTGAGAGAATTAGTCTGAAACCATTGAAATGGCACGATAGGTTTGCCATGAGTTTTTTCGCTGGTGATTATTTAATAGCCGTTTATATTTAAAAATCACGTAAAAGTGTAATTCATGTAAAAGACAAATTAATATTTATCTTTTTTTTTCAGGGCTTAGTGAATGCTTTAATTCTAAAATGTTCGTGTGAGACCAAGCTTGTGCGGCTTTACAAAAATAACAGTCCTACAGATTTGACCGATGACGCCAAAGTTGACCTGCCCAACAAAGCAGAATCTTTGCAATAGCGTGAATCTACAACTTAAGTATTGACAGTTTTGCAGTTCTGTATTTTTCTGAAATGTTGTGAGGTAATGAATGAAAACTATATCATTATTTGTTTTTGCTTGCCATTTGTTTCAGCAGAATGCCTAATATAAAATATAGAAACGGTGGTACTTCTTTATTATTTATTTAACTTCATAGGGCCATGTGAATGACCAGTTGTCGGTAAGAAAAGTAAGTAAATGTCCCTTTTCCACTCTTTTATGCTTATAGAGCATACAGGGCTAGGCCTAACTTTTTGGCTCTCCTGTCAACTACGGCCGGTAGACAACAGTAGACGGCCGGTTAGTCGGAGTTCTGTCCCTTGGCTACAGTGCAATTACGGAGTGGAAAAGGAGGGAACGAAACAAATGACACAATTACTGTGTGTTAGCGATAGACAGCGTGCACTGCCCTGCTATAATCATAAGGTTTGGGTTAGAGTTAGGGTTTGGGTTAGGGTTGGGTTTGGGTTAGAGTTAGGGTTTGGGATAGGGTTTGGGTTAGGGTGTGGGTTAGGGTTACGGTTAGTGTCGCCGCATCTCGTCTTCGCACAAACTCATAGTAGCAACCCAAACCCTAAACCTAACCCAAACCCTACCCCTACCCCTAACCCAAACCCAAACCCAAATCCTAATCCTAATCCAAACCCTTACCGTATAATGACAGTAGGGCACTGCACGCTGTCTACCGCCAACACACAGTAATTATGTCACTTGTTTCGTTCCCTCTATACCACTCCGTAATGCATCGCAAGAAGTGGTAATTGAACCCGGTCGCTAATTTGAATCGCAGCGCGGGGTCTGCAAGGCATGTCGACGTCACTTTGTGTTGTGATTCGTGCCTTTTCCACTCCGTAATTGCACTGTAGCCAAGGGACAGAACTCCGACTAACCGGCCGTCTACTGTTGTCTACCGGCCGTAGTTTACAGGAGAGCCAACATTTTTTTTATAGACCAATCAGCACAAGATGGGTGATGGGGTCAGCATCACGCCGGAGTTGTCGGTAGTTGTACATTCAGTAGTGTCGGTTCAATGTGGTTATTAAACAAAATGATATTCCCCGTGATAACAGAGAGTGCAAATATCCATGGCGACAAACAGAACGCAAAAAGAAAGAAGTTATGCAAAAACAAAGAACGTTTCCTCTAGTGTTTTTGGTGATTAAAAGGTCAAATGTTTCCATGAATTTATAACGATAAACGAGAACAAATCAACAATTATCTATACAAGTATAAACAAAATCATGACACAGTAACGTGAAGAAACCGAAGAGGAATGTGTTTATTATAGTTAAATGTTGAAATCAGGGGTAATAAGAATGGAGTTGTTATCCAGCGAACTTACTTCACTAAGCACAAACTGTGACTCAGAAGCTAATCAAGAGGGAAAGTTGATTGAAGATAAAACTCCCCACAAATATTGGGTCATTATCAAGTGCCTTGCCAGCTGGCGTAGGCGTTCATGTATCTCCACAGATTTCGGTCTTGTGTGTTCTGGATGATTTCCACTGAAGATATTCCTCCCTTCCACTATCTCAAGCCATTCACTATCGTTTTTCTTGGTCTGCCTCTGCCTCTTCTACCAGAGATCTTTCCAGTCGTCAAAGTATTTTCAGAGCTCCTTTTCTCATCACATGACCAAAGAAGGTTGTTTGTCTCCTTCTCACTGTTAAATATTAATGTTAAATAATTGCCTATGTTGAACGTGGTCACGTCATGTCATATGACAAGTACTAACCTAAGTACTAAGGAATACAAGAACACATGCTTATCGGATCACAATACAAAAATGTGGCAAATTTCGCAATTAAGCTGATGCTAAAAACTTATGTTAATTACAGTTTCACAATTTTTTTTTATAATTTTGAGAGTATAATTTTTATAATCTGAGTTTATCATATATGGTTTAATGCTCTACTGTGAAAGAAGCAGAAGATGAAAAAAGAAGAAGAAGAAGAAAAAGAAGAAGAAGAAGAAGAAGAAGAAGAAGAAGAAGAAGAAAAAGAAGAAGAAGAAGAAGAAGAAGAAGAAGAAGAAGAAGAAGAAGAAGAAGCAGAAGAAGAAGCATAAAACAAATGTTTGTCGCCATTTTGCTTTAGCAGTACATTTATTTAAATGAATAGTCAATAATAAGGCCTTTTGGACAAGATCAAGAGATATAGGTCAATGTTCAGGTGGTGGGATAAGTCACTGTTCTGAAGGGGGTGGGGGATAGGTCACTGTTCTAGAGATGGGATAGCTCACTGTTCTGGAGGTGGGATAGGTCACTGGTCTGGAGGTGGGATATGTCACTGTTCTGGAGGTGGGATAGGTCACTGTTCTGGAGGTGGGATAGGTCACTGTTCTGGAGGTGGGTTGGGTCAATGTTCTGGAAAGAGGATAGGTCACTGTTCTGGAGGGGGGATACGTCACTGTTCTGGAGGGGGGGGGGGATAGGTCACTGTTCTGGAGGGGGGGATAGGTCACTGTTCTGGAAGTGGGATAGGTCACTATTCTGGAGGGTGGATAGGTCACTGTTCTAGAGGCGGGATAGGTCACTGTTTTGGAGGCGGGAAAGGTCACTGTTCTAGAAAAAAACAAGTAGCAAA